TTTATTTACTGGGCATTATGGTAAGTGCAGGAGGAAAAAAAGAGAACCAGAAAAACTACACAGCTCTCTCCACCACTCTCCCCCCAACACACACAAAGCTCATATTCCCGCAGGAGACATAGACTACTAAACAGACTACTGTAGTACAGTCGGTAAGATCCATGATAGAAATGGCGGTGTGATGTAAAAAGGAGAGACATCTACATAGGGAGGGAGGTAGTATAAGCTGAAGAAGGCTTCCTGGAGGAGGCGATAGCTGAGCTAAGTTTATAGGATGATTACATATGGTTAGGAAAGTGGGGAGTTCCTGTGATTTGCATGGAATGCCTTGACTAGAGGCATACTGGCAAGAAACAACTTGATGAGTGCAGTAGAGTACGGGTTGTCTGGTTTTCTCAGCACGACATAGGAGCTAGCTTCTAGCTTTACAAATAGTATCCTTCACTCACTGAAGCACCATGAACAGACCTAAGGACAGTCCTTTTTCTAACCACCCAGGATCTAAAATCCAAATTCTACAGGTGAAATTCAGTTGTCACCAACTGTAGACAAATAATGTATGTGTGTTTTATTACGACATCTGTAATAGTTTTTCTTATTTTTGGCCAAGAGCTCGTGAGTTTGGCTGGATTCAGGGTATCTGTTTGCTGTATTTTCTGAGTTGCTCTCAGGTTTTTCTTACCCTCACTTTTCTGAAGCCATGCTAAGGATAGTGTTTTTGTAATTTCTGTTTAGGTTTCTCAGTGCTCATCCAATCTTTAAAAGAGCCAACGTTCATTTATTATGTGTTTAAGTCTAAGATATTTTCAAATACAAATGAGAATGTGTCAGTATCTAATTGGATTACAGACTTATCCTTAGAAAGTATAATGTAGCTTTTGGAGAATAGGCAATATAGGTACATTTAGCTGAATAATTAATTAAACAACTACATAATTAAAACTATGGAATGAATAGATTCTCTACAAGAATCTGCAGTGTAGTACAATAATGAATCTGTGTGGCCTGAAGCCAATCAAGTTGGATTCATTGAAATATGCTGCTTCTATCATGTACTGGAAGCAAGAAAGTATGTGAAGATAATCGCAGATTAGCTTCCTCTGGAGAAACATATAAACGATAACCTGGTGAAATAAATGTTTGAGCTTTTTGATTATCCCCTGGACCCTGAATCTGTATTTCCAAAATTTCTTGTCCAGTGAACCCACTGATATTGCTAGCATAGCTTTGTTTACAGAAACAGCAGAGAGAAGGCCATCTCTATGGTATCTCTTTGGTTTATCTTCTCTGCTCCAAAGTTACTTGAGCAGCAGTCTTTTTTATCCATGTTGGCTTTGTTGAACATTTCCTCAGCATCCTTACTTTGGATAATTTAGAACTGCAGCAGTTTGGCTTTCACAATTACTGAATCCCATGAAAAAGCAGGTGGCATGCTACCTTGTTCAATGTCCCTATTACAGTCTGGGAGAAACAATATAGAAATTTGAGTTGTGCTGCAATTTCAAAGGAAAGAAAAATCTGCCATTTACTTTCCTTCTATGTGTTCATCTCAAGGGGTAGATCTCAAGGGGTGGACCTCAAGAGGAATGTGTCAATCAAGATCTGGACTAGTTCAGAGCTTTATTCACATTGTTATCACAATACAATGATATGGTCTAAAATATCTCAACTACTTTTCTTTTGATTTAATCGGTTACATGGTATTTTTAGCAATTGTATGGCAATTGTGAAAAAATGAAGATGAGAATACACACAGGGCTCTCTTTAAAAAGAGCTTATAATAGGTATTACATAGTTACTGTTATTGAGATAAGCCTATTGTATGGACAGCAAGTCATCTCCTGCATGAATAAATACTTGCCACCAGTGGAGAGCCAGAGATGAAAGTCATTCACAGTCATTTGCTTATTTACACAGCTGGAGTGTGTGTGAGCAGAGTGTGTATGCTATAGAGAATAATCTTTTTTTTTAAGTTGACAAAACATTCATCTTTTGTGTCCCATTGTTCAATACTGGACACATGAGTACCATGCTTTTCTTTTATGTGACGATAGCAAAACCTCCCCGCCATCAGACCATCAAGAATTTTGAGTTGAGAACGTTTTATTTGCTCTTTGTGTAACCAGTGCAACAAATTTGCATGGTATTTAAAGTTCAGAGCCAATTTATTCATTTTAAAAATAATACTGTGTTATACTGCATTTTATGATACATAGGATACATATGATACATACATATACTGCATTTTATGATACTTGCTTCAGACATGATAGGTGTTTAATAAGCAACACTGCTGGGTCAAACTGGGTTGCAAAGTAGATTCCATTATACCTACATTGAGATAATGATAAAGATATGCAATTTACTACTAATGTTTGGAGACCTATGAGTCTCAAAGGATCAGAACCTATACCACAAAATTTAAATAGGCAACCACACTGGCAATTTTTTGCATGACTAAAGTGCCTGGGTTTTAAATTGTTCCAAGTATTTTCTTTATAAATAACAACATTCCCAGAGAGTCCTTGGATGCTGTGTACCTGGTAGTTACAGGAGAGTTCTGGAGTTCATTAATCAAACCACCCTTGATTTCTGCTTAATCTATTTCAACAAAGGTTTATATTCAGAGTGCATTGAAGAGTATTAGAATGGAAACAATAGGGCCAGGTGTGGTGGCTTGCACCTGTAATCTCAGCACTTTGAGAGGCCGAAATGGGGGGATAGCTTGAGTCCAGGAGTTTAAGACCAGCCTGGGTAATAATGGTGAAACTCTGTCTTCACAAAAAAAAAAAAAAAAAAAAAAAAATTACCATGCTCCTATAGTCCCAGCTACTTGGGAGGATGAGACAGGAAGATCACTGAGCTCACACTTAAGCTCCAGCCTTGGTGATGGAGTGAGATCCTGTCTCAAAAAAAAAAAAAAAAAAATATAAAAAAATATATATATATATATATATATATATATATATATATATGAGAAAACAGTAAACTAAAAGTAGAAGGATTTGTTTTGAGATCAACAGAGAAAATGAAGACTTTTATATTTTGTGACATAATTAAAAATACAACTTTTCTAAAAAATTATTATTGATGTATATATAAAAGGCAAGCAAAATCCAAGGATTTTTAACCATGCTTTAGGCGATACAAAAGTTCTGTGTAATCATGAAAAAAAAAAGAGGTTAAAAAATAGCACTTATACTGAGTCTAGATAAACCAAATAACTATATATGTTGCTAAATAAGAAACAATTTGGCCATTTTAAGGACTGAAGTTTGTCTTACCATAAAATGATGCATGCATATTCCTAACCATGTTAGGTATATTGGGAATTCATGAGATCCCATATTTGGTATATGGACACCATAACGAATTTAGTACATATTTTTTCTCTTCCTATTCCAGAGCTACTGTAATAGAAGGAGTAATCAAATTCTTATATCTTTGAAACACTGTCACTTCACAAATGAATAAAACTTTTTCTTTTCTTAATCGGCTGTAAGTCCTTATATTTCAGGAAAAAGAAAGTAAAGATAATAAACTCTAAGTATGTATTCTGTAAAGAACCAAATTGACAACATTTAAATATTGTGCTTATATTCAAAAGATAATCTTTAGGGGCATACCACTCTAGATTTTAAAATGCAGTATTTTCTCTTAACATGCTAGAAATAGTGTACTTTCTTCTGGCTTCTGTTGGTGCTGTTGAAAAGTGAGCACTCTAATTCTTGGCAGGAGGTATTGTAAGTGTACTAGAAGTTTTGAATCTGGTGGTTGAAGAACGGGATGTTCGAAATCAAAGTTTCCATTATGGTACTAGTTTTGATAATAATAATGTCCCGAGTGTACCTTTGAGAATGGATGATTGCAGAGGAATGGATGAATAGATCCTCATTTCAGTGTTCAAAAATATGTATGTTTACCCAAGTAGTGAATGAAATACGGTGTTCTTACAAACTGTAAAATTTTGAAAAGAATTTTTCCCTGTACATTGAGGAGATCTAGCCCACATACCATGTTCAATATTATTTAAAGCCTTCTGCTTCAATATCAAATAATGTTTTTAATTAGCTTTATTTAAACTGAAGTCAACTAATCATAGATTCTTGACTAGTGACTGACTTGATATTTTATTGCCCGCTAAGCTTTGGTGTGTAAGTAAGTGTGACACAGGCATTCATTGCTGAAGAGCAATGGAAATGAAATTCTCCCCCAATGGTTTGAAAGTGTGATGTGAGTACTGGCTTCACTAATAAGTATCGAATGTTATCATAATATCTAATCCTATATGCTTTTTCTGAATCTTTTAAAAAAAATTCTTGGTTACATGACTTTGTTACTTTCCCCTACATACTAAATACGGTTTCTTCACAGTCCCTCTGCCTTGCTTCTGATAATACGTGGTTTCAGGAAAGTGTGTTATTGACTCATTGATACTAAAGTATGCTTGCTATTTGAATTTTAACAGATTTTAAGACAAAAGAGTGAACCTTTCTGACATGTAAGAAATAACATTTAGTAAGACATTTTGTAACTCCTAAAATAACATATAAGTTTGTGACCTACTACGTAAATAGGTAAAGTTGACTAAAAGTGATCAGAAGAAATTCAGAAATATATTTGTTCAAAGTGTATATTAGGTGTACATATTTATGCTTTAATGTATATTTGTAGACATATACACTTTATAAAACTTTAGAAGAAGACAAGAGTCAATAGGTAATAAATTAGAAAGCCACAGTAGCCACATTTATGATTTGGAGTCTGATGTATATTTTTTCTTTTAATTTAACAAAGATTATATGTCTCAGAAGCTACTGAAAAAAAAGTCAAAATAAAATTCTTAGAAATTCAGATACGCTAATGGATTTTGATTAAAAATAAATTTTGGATCAAATGAATAACAAAAGTGTTACCTTGACTAATGGTTTTGTTAATTGGGCTTCGCCTGACATGCGTTTGCTTAGAATTTAAGTATGATTTTTTTCTTTTTTTTCCAGTGTTAAAGAACCCAGTATGTAAATTATATAGATTTCCCACATCTGACAATAAGTGGATGCGAATTCGAGAGCAAATGTCAGAGAGCATTCTTTCCTTTCATATTCCTAAGGAATTGATTTCCCTTCACATTAAAGAAGATTTGTGCAGGTAAGAGAAAATAACTGTTGTCTCTCATATTAATTATTTTATATCATTTAAAATTTTTAATTAACAAATTATATATAATCTGTGCAACGTTTTGAAATATGTATGTGTTGTGAAATAGCTAAATCGAACCTAGTTAACATTTTCATTACCTCACATACTTATCAATTATTATTTTTTCTCTAGAATATTTTTTCTAAAGGCATAATGATGACGTAAAAATCTAGACCTGAACTGTATACTATGGTGGCCACTAGTCCTATGTAACTATCGATTACTTGAGATATGACTAATCCAAAATGAAATGTTCTATCACTGTAAGATACACACCAGATCTTTAATTCTTAGCACACGCTTGCAGATGATTTAATAACAAAACGTTAACTTGGATATATTGAGGTTTTATAAAATATATTACTAAAGTTAACCTCATCTGCTTTTTTTATTTAAACTTTTAAAATATGGCTACTAGAAAATTTAACATTACATATGTTACTTTCATTTGTGGTTTGAGCTATATTTCTTGGATACCTTGGTATCTAGCCAATAATTTGAGCTTTGATCTTGTAATAATTCTTGTGTCTTTTCCTCAACTGCTTATGGTTGCTGTTTCTGGAAATAATTCCTATTTGACTCACCTTTGGACTTCTCGTTTGTAGTAAGGCTTTCAGAAATTTATTAGTCTAAAAACGACTGGAGATGACTGAATAAAACATGCTATGCTAATAGACAGTATTGTACAACAAAATTAAATCAGTTGCTATAATAAGGTAGAGGGATTTGAGAGCTTATTGCTTGTTAAGAGTATCTCTGGACCATGACTAATCAATTTGTTTCTCTGCCTTTTAAACAAACCTGTAATAACATTAAAAATGCTGAATGCTACATTATATAAAATCCTGTTAAGGTTCTAAATCTCATTAAATTAGCAACTTTTAAAAAGTTAACACTTTATAATTGCTGAAATCTACAGCAGAGTGTGAAATTTCTAGCATTTGGGTTCCTGCCTTATGCTCACATTAGTGCACATATTTATTTAATAGTACTGTACTCTTTTGGTAGACTCTGAAGTCCCCAGGGATTCCATATTAACCTAAGCCAGTGAGGACACCGTAGACAGGGCAGGTCTAATTGGCAACTATTAACAAAATTGGTTAGGGTAGGCATGACTGCATGAATACGAAAACAGAACCCCAATTTCAGGAAAATTAGGGAACTGGATTATTAAAATGTGATCTGCATCTAGGGAAATAAACACTAAAAATGAGACAGAAAGGTGAATATTTGAGAGTAGCAGAGTGAGGATCATAAAGCCAGAGAAATCAGACAACACGTATTGACTCAGGCAAAGAGAAGCTATGGCATGCTCAGGAATCTAAGCGCACTACGTAAGAGCCAACTGCAAGAAGTAGCAGCCAAGTTATTCTGAAATGGGTTTTCAACATTATCCCTACCTAACAGACATAGTGACAGTAGGCAATAGACAAAACACATTACCTGGAAGCATAAAGCAAGCTTATATATTACAGTAGAAGCACAAGGAGTTTGGATTTTAGAAGTCATTATACCTAACATGATTGCATTCTAGACCACTGGACACCAAGAATCACTCCTACTAGAGCCATGTCATGATCACCTTTTTATCCTGAGGGGTTGAAGACGGTAGCTAGTCCTCACAGGAGTTATGCAGAATAAGGAAAGACTCTCAGTAGACAAGCATGAGATTACAGGCAGGACCTGAGAAACACAGAAGAAGAGTTGCCACATGAAGCAGACTTAAGAATTTAGAACTAGGGCTTACCCTTTAAATGGCTCCAGAATAGCTACATCTAATGTAGCCAAAACTAAATTTCTAATTACAGTTAACAATAATTTATTCTGTAATTCCAAATACTTAGAAGAATTGTAATGTTCACCACACAAAGAAAAGATAAATTTTTGAGGTGATGAATATCCTAGTTACTCTGACCTACACATCATATACAAGTATCAAAATATCACATGTACCCCCAAAATATATACAACTATGATATAGCAATAAAACATAAGATAACTGAAATAAAATGTCTTTGAAGACATAGACAATATAAAATAATGACATGTCGGCCGGGCGTGGTGGCTCACGCCTGTAATCCCAGCACTTTGGGAGGCCGAGGCAGGCAGATCACTAGGTTAAGAGATTGAGACCATCCTGGCTAACGTGGTGAAACCTCGTCTCTACTAAAAATACAGAAACAAAATTACCAGGTGTGGCGGCGGGCACCTGTAGTCCCAGCTACTCAGGAGGCTGAGGTGGGAGAATGGCGTGAACCCAGGAGGCGGAGCTTGCAGTGAGCTGAGATCACACCACTGCACTCCAGCCTGGGCGACAGGGTGAGACTCCGTCTCAAATAAATAAATAAATAAATAAATAAATAAATAAATAAATAAATAAGACATGTCATAAAACACTGAAATTCATTAACTTATATTCATTAACATAGCATTTATTATTATACTATATATAGTATTTAACATAATAACCAATTTTAGCCTAATATTTTTGAGTTGAAAATCTTAGTTGATGGATCATTAACCACCACTTCATTAAAAAAATTCAACAAGCTAGGAAAAGAAAGAGTAATCCTATTTGAATTTGAAAATCGTCTTGTGACCCTGTCTTTTGTCTTCAGTTTAGAAACCTCTTAAAGGATGAGCAGCTGTCTTTCTAATGCTTGTCTGCTACTTTTGAGTCCTCCACAGTGCTATCTTCAAAGTCCACTTCTATTCTCACTAATATCCTTCTGTCTGCATTCATTGATAGCAAATCAAGGGAGAAAGAACGAGTAGGGAATTAGGAGAAAGAAACTAATAAGCTATTGAATTTTGGTAGTCATAGCCACTGTCATTACTGTTTTTATTTTAACACATCAAAGTATTATCCACCTACCCTATTCTCTTTATGACTTTCTCTGTATCTCTTTTGTTATTTCCATATGCTTCACAGCAAAACATTTGCTAACACATAGAAGGGGCTGGTGGGCAGTTTTGGGAAAGATGAATAAACACCGCCTCCCAATATGAAGCTCCATTGCCAGAGACAAAATTAGAAACTGGAATTGTTCAGAGAAGAAAATTACATTTTAATTCTACAAAAACAAAAGATATAGAAACCTGATAGATTCCAAAAACTCACCAGGGTCTGTGATGGCCAGGCTGTATACTTTTGCCTTTCTCCAATACCTTTTCTGTATAAATCTCCTATCATTAGAATTTATTTAGAAATTCAACAATGAATGTTTTAAATTTTATATTGAAAAGGAGATTTTCAAAATTCATCCTGGAGACTCAAAGGGGAAATAGGAAAAGCTTGTAGGAAAATTGGCCAGCTGTCTCAGTGGAGTGTAAGAAGATATAGTTACTGTAAAACAGAATAAGAAATCTATACAAAGGGAACCATCTAAAGAAAAAAGGTCATGAAGAAAAGTGTAATGCACTAAATAATGAAATTTTAAAATGCAGTGTCCACATTAAATCCACAGAGCCAGCAGAAAAGATTTAACACTAAGACATCATGTCTGTAATGTGGAAGACAAACACAATAAGCTCTTCCTAAATGCTAAGGAAAGTTGAAAAAAAGGTTCAGATGGATGAGAGAGAAGATGTTAGATGTGCAAGACAAAGAGCTGGACATTACTAAATAATTTTAAGTGTTCTTGGAGAAGAACAGTTAGTGCAAAAAACTTGACAAAAAGCATTAAAAAAATTACTGAGTCTACAGTTTTGTTTTTACTTTTACATGCTAAAATCAGGCTAGCATTATACTTCCCTGTAGAACCCGATGGAACAGTATCTACTGATTTCTGACAGAAAAAGGCTGTGGCTTTACATTATTATATAGGGTTAGGTTATAAATTTTTTATGGATGAAGCGAGATGTACTGACATATACAAGAACTCAGAAACCATTATACAAAAACATTCTTGAAAATCCTACTTGAAAGTGGTGCGGAGCAAGATGGCCGAATAGGAGCAGCTCCAGTCTCCAACTCCCAGCGCGAGCGACACAGAAGACCGGTGATTTCTGCATTTTCAACTGAGGTACTGGGTTCATCTCACTGGGGAGTGCCGGACGATCAGAGCTGGTCAGCTGCTGCAGCCCGACCAGCGAGAGCTGAAGCAAGGCGAGGCATTGCCTCACCTGGGAAGCGCAAGGGGGAAGGGAGTCCCTTTTCCTAGCCAGGGGAACTGAGACACACAACACCTGGAAAATCGGGTAACTCCCACCCCAATACTGCGCTTTAGGAAACAGGCACACCAGGAGATCATATCCCACACCTGGCCGGGAGGGTCCCACACCCACGGAGCCTCCCTGGTTGCTAGCGCAGCAGTCTGTGATCTACCGGCAAGGCAGCAGCAAGGCTGGGGGAGGGGCGCCCGCCATTGCTGAGGCTTAAGTAGGTAAACAAAGCTGCTGGGAAGCTCGAACTGGGTGGAGCTCACAGCAGCTCAAGGAAACCTGCCTGTCTCTGTAGACTCCACCTCTGGGGACAGGGCACAGTAAACTAAGACACACAGACACCTCTGCACAGACGCAAACGACTCTGTCTGACAGCTTTGAAGAGAGCAGTGGATCTCCCAACACGGAGGTTGAGATCTGAGAAGGGACAGACTCCCTGCTCAAGCGGGTCCCTGACCCCTGAGTAGCCTAACTGGGAGACATCCCCCACTAGGGGCAGTCTGACACCCCACACCTCACAGGGAGGAGTACACCCCTGAGAGGAAGCTTCCAAAGCAAGAATCAGACAGGTACACTCGCTGTTCAGAAATATTCTATCTTCTGCAGCCTCTGCTGCTGATACCCAGGCAAACAGGGTCTGGAGTGGACCTCAAGCAATCTCCAACAGACCTACAGCTGAGGGTCCTGACTGTTAGAAGGAAAACTATCAAACAGGAAGGACACCTACACCAAAACCCCATCAGTACATCACCATCATCAAAGACCAGAGGCAGATAAAACCACAA